GGCCGGCAGCAGAGCCCAGCCCAGCCCATGGGACGGGAGCTTCGCTGAAAGCAGGCATCCTTCTGGGAACAGCCCCGCTCTCTGCACAGCCCCGGCTCGCCCGCTCCGTGCGCGGCCAGGGGCGCTGCTCCGCTCCGCTTCCCCCTGCTCCCAGCTCTGTTTGTCATTCCCTTTGCGGTCCGGGCTCTGTGGCAGCAGCCGGTAGCGTTGTGGGGTTCTTAACCTGCAGCATGCAGTGCTTTGTCCCACGAGAGGGGCTCAGGCAGGACTGATGCCGCCGGCGCTGCCTGCGCGTACTGGGCTGCTGTTGCTGCTCATTGAAAGCGAGAGAACTCGTCAGCCTTGCGTGTGATCCCTGTACGAGCCCCGTTTGCCATCCCGCTGATGCTGAGACCACGAAGGCTCCCGTCTCCAGCCCCCTGATGTGTGCCAGACCCCCCCACCGCAGGGTGAAACACTCATGCCCCTGCATGCCTCTCGCTATGAGACAGCCAGAGCTGCTGCTCCTCCACCTTACGGGTAAAGGCAGAGCACAGATGAATAAGTGTCAGGCTTAGATTTCACTTGCTCAGATACTGAAAGTGGAGCCCCATGGGGAGGGGTGGGATGTGCCGGTTCCCCACATTCAAAAGGATGCTCCGGGCTGGCGTCCTGCCCTCCCTCTGTATCCTGGTGGGTCCATGGGATGCTGTCCCTGGGAGATGGAGACAAGCCCTTGCCATATAACAGGCCCCTGAGCATGGCTGCAGTGGGCAGGGTGCTGGTGGCATCACTCCTGGCTTTTGTAATCCTGTGCCTGGTATTAGTCAGGCTCTCACCACCCAGGCACAGCTGAGATAAGAAAGTGGCAGCCTGAGAGAGCTGGGGCCATCCCCACTTCCCCCATGCCCCTTGGGCAACGCGTGTGCCCCTCTTCGTGCTGCTCCGCATCACCTCTTTCATGCCAAAAGCCCTGATTTCCGTCACGTGCTGCTGAAATCTAGGCCGTGGAGAGGCATGAGCGGCACGGGCTGAGTGATGCGGCGTCTTCACATTAAACAGCAAGCGTTAACTGTAACCGCAACCCAAATCAGGGAAGTTCTGACAGCTTTTGCAACTCAAAAATAGTTAAAATAGGGTTTGATTGGTTTGATTTTGCCCCTTTAGTGCTTAAGATCCCCCTGTATTGCTTAAAGCCCTGGTCCTTGTGGCACCCCAGCAGGCTGAAGCATCCAGAGTAGATGCTCGTCTTCCTCCTGCCAAGGAACGCTGTTTTTCAGCAGGAGGCAGGTGGCTCGGGTTCCCAGGTATGAGGAGGCAATGTGCTGAGCTCCCAGGAAGAAGACACCCAGCAAGGAAACCATGTGCTTCTGTGGGATCAAACCCAACGGAAAACCACCTCCTCGAGCTGTGCGACAGTCTCGTGCCGTTACTGTAACACCCAGACTGACACTGAGATGGGCAGGAACTACATCAGCACTAGGTGTGGGGAATGATGCACTGCACCGGGGCAGTGGCTTTCAGGATGTAATGGTGCCTTTGAGACTCAGCTCTGCAGGCTGCCCTTTGGGGTGTTTTAGCAGTGGGAAAAAGCTGCTTGAGGACATGGCCAGAAATGAATCATGGGGATTGCTCCTCTGCTGGAAGCATCATTTCTGCGTGGTAGATGCTGCCTTTGGCTGCCCAGATGGCTTCTGCTGGGGTTTCCACAATAGCCTTCCTAAAACTCCTTGGAGGTGATACATCTCCTTAGTCAGAGGGTTGTCTGTGTGCTTTTGCCCACCAGATCGGCATCATGATGCAAACATCCTTGTGTTTTGGTGACAAAAGGCATGGGCTCCTTTGCATGGTGACCTAGCCCTGACTTCACTTTGCGTGGAGCCCTGCAGCACATTTCTACAGCCCCACCAGCTTCCCAACCCAGTTTTGGAGGAGCAAAGCTGCATCCCTGCATCTTGCCAGTCTCCTGATGCCCCGTGAGCAGGATGACTTCTTCTGCCTCTATTTTCTGCTGATTCAAACCACTCCTGTGGCATCAGGTACCTGGAAACCTTTGTTCTCCAAACAGCAAGAGGCATCCCATCTGCTTCCTTCCTGTGGTTACTTTAACCAGAGTGACTGAGCTTTACTGAAAACTCACCACAGCTGAGCTGATGCTGCCCTTTCCTCTGCTGGGCTCCTGCCTTGCGCTGGAGACACGGGCTCTTCCACATGGTGACTCTGAGAGATGCTTCTTGCTTACCTATGGAAGTAAAATGATACAAAAGGGATGAAAATAGGTGCAGAGGGGTGAGGGGAGCGTGTGGACCAGGTCAGCCTGGGGTGAAGCTTTGAGCAGTGCAGGTTTTACTGAGAGCAGAGATAACCTCTTGGGGCAAACTCAGCAATTGCACTGACCAGTTCCAGGCCTGACCAGTTCCAGACTAAGTGTGGGCAGAAACAGACTCAGAACTTGTCATATTGATTTATATTAACTGATTATTTTCTGTTTCTAATGCAATGCAGAGTGAAAACCCAGCTGTAAATAGAGACCTGGAGTCTTGCTGTACACCTCAAAGAGCCATGGCAAAGAAAGGGGCTTGAAAGTGAAACAGGAGCATGACCAGGTAGCCCTGGGCTGTTGGTGTGAGCTGGAGCTTAGGAATGGGTCCAGTGGTTGAGTTCTGGGTTTATTACTACCAGAGCTATCCCCTGTGGATCAGGGAAGGGAGGTACAGGGATTAAAGCCCTGGTGATAATCCATGACATGCAGGCACATAACCAACTATTTCACTGGAAGTGCTGCTCTGCAAAGGGCGATGGCTGAAACTCTTGCTGGAGTTGGAGGCTGAGGGACCCATGGAGTGCCCTGGGGCCAGGGTTTCCCTGCAGTGAGAAATCCCTAGCAGGTATTTTGTCACAAATTTGCATTTCGATGCGAGGACCTCAAGTCTTCTCACTTCTGGGGTCGTTAATGCAGGGATTGGACTTGATCCTATGGGTCTTTTCCAGCCTAGTTGGTTCTATGGCTCAGCGAATCCTTGGTGGTCCTCCTTGCCTGGATCTACGCCTGCTGGGCTCAGCACCTATGCCCTAGTGCTGATTTATCATAGAATCCCAGACGGGTTTGGGTTGAAGGGACCCCAAAGCTCCTCCAGCTCCAACCCCTGCCACAGGCAGGGACCCCTTCCACTGGAGCAGCTTGCTCCAAGCCCCTGTGTCCAACCTGGCCTTGAGCACTGCCAGGGATGGGGCAGCCACAGCTTCTCTGGGCACCCTGTGCCAGCGCCTCAGCACCCTCACAGTGACCAGAACAGAGGCTTCATTCACCAGGAGGTCTTTATTAGCAAAAATAAACGGTTTCTTTTCATACAGACAAATATGCAACAGTTCACGTGGTGACAGAAGCCGTGGCCAAGGCCCAGCATGAAGCCCCCAGGGAGGGAGCTGCTGATGCTCTTGCTGCAGCTCCAGGGCTGTCCTTGCTTCTCCTGAACCTACAAAGTCAAGGTATTTGGTGGAAAAATGACTACAGAGGTGGCTCAAAAGGAGCTTAATGTGTCCCGGTACCAGAGTTAAATGAAGTTGTGTACAGTTGGCTCCCATGCTATCTGATTGCTTCCAGTAGAAGGAGCGACCGACAGAGCAGCATTCCTGCTTGGAGCTGCCCTTGCTCTGGGATAACCAGTTCCTGCATGGGCAGGCTGCCAGCAGGAATGCCCTTCTGTCACCATAAATGTACAAATAATATAAATGCAGTATAAATAGCCTCTCTTCAATGGTAGCTTCCAAAGCAACAACAAAACTGACAGTGTTTCGTCACATTGATGCCCTAATACTTCTAAATATTAGAAGCAAATGCCTCTGGGTTAAGGCATTTTCCCCTGGCTCAGTGTCCTGTAGCTCTCATTGGGGGCATGCAGGAGACTGGGGAAGGGGAGCCCTAAAATCAGATGTTCTTGGGGGCACTGAAGCTGCTCTTGCTTCAGCCACCCCCCTGAAGCCCTTGGCTGCTGCAGCTCCTCATTCATGGGCTTAGAAACAACATGAGCTCGAGTGCTGCATGCAGCTTTAAGCATTTGAATACAAATTACACAGGCCACCTTAAAATGGTGGTTAATGAAATACCCTTTACCTTCTAAAAGCAAAACCCCACAACAAACCAGCAAGTAAAACCCAATCAGAGACTGGAAAACAGTTAAAATTAACCTTTAGGAAGTGCAGAGGGGCTGACCCAGCAGCTCTGGAAGTCAGGCCTTAGCAATGGTTAAGTTCTATTAGAACCAAACATTTCATTCTTATTACTGTATTTTTAGTTTCATCTGGACTAATCTATAGGCTGAAGTCTAGAGCAGGGTCAACTGAGCTCTTGCTGTGGCATCATCATGTGCAGGTCCTCCTCCTCCTCCGCCTTGCTTTTCATGCCCAGGATTAAAAACTGCCCTTGGTTATATTTCCAGTTATTTTGCTCTGAGCAAGGCTGTGGAATTTTGCATATTTGGAATATTTCAGTGCCCAATTCCACCAGCAGATCCAGTGACGTGGTTGTGCATAAACCCATCCGACTGCACAAATAAATAGAGGGATAGAATGTGATGAGATTGCTTATTTGCTTAACGTTAAACTTGTTCTGTTTCAGAGCTGGAATTGCTCCTGATCAAGGGACCTGCGCTCAGGGTAAGCTCTGCTCGTGACCTGCTCCCTAGAAGGACATTGCATTGGGTGTTTTAAAGCTATGAATAAAATAGCACAATCGTAACCAGCATTAGAATAGTGAACAATAAATAGTATTTTTACAAGCTCTTTCTCCACAGGACGTTGTAAACACAAAACACTGAGGTATCGGAAGTAATAAATAGTAAATTCAGTTTTTAAATACTAAACTGGAAGTGAGTGACCTGAACCCTAAGAAATAACTTAATCTCTCGCGTGCTCGTGCAGCCTAAGGTGATTTCTGGCAAACCAGCAGGGTTTGGTATGCAAGATGCAGACCCGCAGGCGTTTTCACTTCCTTCTCTTCAACATCAAGTACTCTTCGATGTAGTTGATGAAAATGTCAAACTCTCCCATAGCCTTGTAGACTCCGTTCTCATTCATCTGCAGGCGAAAGCCAAGTCTAAGTCTGGACGTGATGACAGAAGTGATGCGTGGTCGCGAGATGCAGTCCCCTTCCACTGACATCTCTGCCCAACCCCTCAGGGCAACCCGCCCTTCAAGCATCACTCTCAGGGTTTCCCTGCCTTAGGTTTTTGTATTACTGAGCACGTATTCTGTATAACTGTTCTCTGTTAGGCTGAAGCCAGCAGGAAACCCTGCTGCCTCGCTTGTGACACCAGCTCCTCCCAACCCAGCGTAGCCACGGGAGCGGGGACCTCACCTTCTCGAACGTCTCCTTGATGTGCTTTATGGTTTTGCTCCTCTTCTCGCACGTGAAGAATCTGTGCTGCAAAGGGACAAAAACAAGGGCTTCAACCACACGGGTTTCCTTGTTTCCTTCCCGGGCCGTGCAGCGCCGGCTCTCCCCTCCTCCTGCCCTCGTCACTGCCGCCCCACTGCTCTCCACCTTCCCCTGCCCCATGGCGCTCTCGGGGCAGTAACCGTGGCTGCTTTGCACCATGCACTGATGAAAGGAGCCCGGTGTGACCCAGCCTGGGACCCTGAGCCTTATCCCAGCCCCTTGCTTTAAGCCCTGCAGTGCTCTCTGCCCCTGGGCAGGGTTGTTCCCGTCTGACTCAGCCTGTGGCATGTGATGGGGTTACAGTCACAGCAGGCGCGGTTTCAGGATGCGTTGCTGCAGACCGATGATGCCCCGCACCCAGGTAAGGGACGGACCCTCCACCCCCCGTCCCCTTAGAGCCTCTGAATCACTGTTATTTAAGTGATGAAAGCTGGAGAGTAGGGGCTAGGAGAAACCCCATCCCTATGGGATCTGCCTGCTCCTCCACACCATCCTAACACTCGTTCTTTTGCTCCTGTAGAGACCCAGCACCTGCTCCCCATCCTGCTGCTGGTCCAAGACTGGCCCAGCCTCTCTGGACCATTGCTTTCATCCCCCCGTGATGCTGAGCCCCACTCACACAGCGCCTCATCGTCGCCTTCAGGCTCAGCAGCAGGTTGCCCAGGTCACCCATGCTCTGCTGGTGGTGCGTGCTGGCGCTCATGGCGCTGGGCAGGACCTCCTCCGTGTAGAACCGCATCATCTCCGACACCGACTGGCACCCGAAGCTCCCCTGGGATGGAAGGAGGTAACTGCAGTGGGGCTGGCCACCAGCACTGGGGTATGTGGGTGGTGTCAGAGCACTTGCAGCACATTAGAACCACTCGCTGCAGCTGTGATGAGCCACACATCAGCCCTGCTGCAGGCACATGTGTTAGTGCATGCCTGGAGGACTGTCCTTATGTGACATTAAGAAATGTCCCAGTTTCCAATCTGCCTCCTTTGTTACAAAACACTGGCCAAAAGATGGAGAAGGATAAGGGGGTTCGATAAGAATTGTAATTCTTACCTTAAAATCATCCAGCAGTTCAGAGCTGAGCAGCTGGATGCTAAGTTCGTCATCTTTTGATTGCTGTAGAAGGATGCAATGGGAACAGGAGTTACATTTCCAAGCGATCATTTTGCTTTGCATTCATGGCTTCACGGAAGCAAAGGGCAACCAACTCCGTAACACCAGCTACAGGTGTACTGGTGTGCGCCAGTTCCTTGGTCAATAATCATAGGACCATGGAATGGTTAGGAACTTCTTCCCAATAATCTTGCAGTGCAACTACTGCTAGGTCAGGACAGCGAGAGAATGACCTTACAAACATCAGTGCTGCTGATTTCATTAGTGTGAGGCTCCTCCTGCTGCTGCCAGTGCTGCAAACCCTCCTCAGCTGCAGAGGGTGTTGATGTAAGAGGCTGTTGCTGATGCAAATAGCTCTTCATATAGGTCCCAAGGTCATGGCAGCCCCTGGAAGCCAGGCACCTGCCCCAGCCTGGCTGCTCAGTGGGGCAGGAGGGTTTAATCCCCCTGGTTTTGTGATCTCTAGGTCTTAAGTCAATGGGGAAAAGGGGTCTGCAGAGGGTGTTTGTTCTTGTGGTGCCTCTGCACCATCAGCTCAGGAAGACCAGAGAGCTGCAGAAGACCAGAGACCCAAAGCATCACCCTGCAGCACCAAGGTACTTACAAGCTTTCCTGAGAGGTGAGAAATGTTCCTTCCCAACACGTAGTGAAAGATTTACAGCAAGCTTTAAATCTAAAGTCTTGGCTGTGCTCATTGGGTGATAAATATGGGCTATGACGCTATCTTGAGGTTTAACCTGGAGAATAGCCTTGTTTTATCGCTAAAGCACACTGAGCAGCTAAAATAGCAGCAATGATGTGACCAGCCATCTCTGTCAGCATTGATGCCCTGAGTATATCTTGTGTTGCTTTCTCAGCAACCCTGAGGCTCCTGTCAGTCACCTTTCACAGGTACCAAAGCAAGTGCTAGTTATTGTAGTGTTTCTCCAGGCTTAAAATACCATGTTCAGGCTTTTGTGGTTCTTTCAAAGGAAAAGTCTGTAGCAAAAGATTTCCCTTTTCATCTAGCATTCTCTCCAGCAAGGCTGGACCTTGTTGCCTTGAAGAAGGGACTATTTCCTTCCTATTGATTCTGTCTGCAACATTTAGGGGGAAGTCTGGCTAGTGAGGTTGGCAAAGCTTCATTATGAAATCTCTTGAATTCATGGTAACTAAAACTAGGAAGAAAACCTTTGCATGTTGTCTCTCAGCAAGCAATGAAACCCAACTTCTGCTCACCCCCATCAGCCCGTCGCGTAACACCCAACCAAACTTGTGCTAGGAAGAAAGCCGTCTTCCCCCTCACCCCACAGCACACAGCAGAGCAAGGAGGAGATGGGACTTGCAGGCTTCTACTCACAAAGTAATCCTTGATTTCCTCAAACTTCATCCTCAGCTCCTTCAGCTTTGCAGGCAGGAGCTCTGGGAAGTGCAGGCAGCTGGGCTCAGCCGGGGAGCTGCTGGTAGGCAGGGTGCAGGCAGCCAGGAGCAGCAAGGCCAGGGCTGAGGAGCAGGGCTGCATGGTGCGAGAGGAAAGCTTGGTCCAGCTCTCGGCTGAATTTCCCAGGAGGGGAATCGAAGCAGATCTGCAGCCTTCACCTTGATGGAGCCCCTAATTTATACTCTCAAAACATCTCTCCGTTTCCTCTCCCCATTTCCTGGCGAGCAATATTGGGGTTTTAAGTCATTCATTAAAACAAAATGTCACTTGGGTTTCCCGTCATCTTGGGTTTCCTGTTCTCTTGACCTCCCTCCTCTCCTCACACCCCATCAAATCTTTTTGTGCTTAGACTCTGCATTTTTTGTTTTTGTCATTGCTTGCTTCTTGTAAATTTAAATGTGGCTGAAGGGGAAAGCTTCAGAAATAATGCAGAGAGGACAAGGCGCTGTGTGAGGTTATTGCTGCCTTCTCACACTGCATTTTTAGGTGAATGCCTTATTGTTAGGAGGGGATAAAGTGTTTCTGTTTTTAAACCTGCCCCTATCAAGCCTGCACTGAGGATCCCCAGCACCATGCATAGATCAGCAGCATTGCTTTTAGTGAACCGGCATCAATGCACTGCCTCCCCTTTTGGCATTCTAATGCTATGCTGCAAATTCATATTATGTATATATATACACATATAAAACAGATAATAGTATACTTAAATCTCAAGCTTTAATATGTGTTTTTTCCCAGTTAATGCCTATACCTGCTGAAGTCAATGAGTTCGCTCTGCCTTCAGCAGGCTCCAAGGCTGTGCTCCCAAACTTCCGCTGGTGTTGTGTCTGAATGCTGCTGGGATTAGGTCTTTGATGGGCTGGGATGCAGTGGGAAAGCCCAGGCTGGCTGGGATGTGGGATGTGCTGCTGCTTGTGTCCCTTAAGCTGCATGGCTGCATCCCTGGAGCAGGGTTTGAGCCACTATTGGTGTGCAGAGCTGAAGTGTATTAGCAGGTCATGGCTATTCATGTTTCTGCTTTAAGATCCTATTTCATTTCCTAGAAATAGACCCAAACCCTATCCAAGGAGCCCAGTGCTGGCTCTGCGAACTGGGTGTACTGTGTTCACTGGGACTTATTGTCCCAGCTCTGATAAAATTACCATTTCAGAATGGAAGATAATTCTTCTGACGTCTCTCTTCCGCTTTCCCCCTTTCCTGCTCTCTTTGTATGTGTTGGTACGCCTCCCCCTGCTTCCTTGTGATAAAGATTTCACCGGCAATCCCTTATCCATGAAAGTGAAAGGGGAGACGAATTTGGCTTCTCTGAAATCAGGATTTTCTCTGAAAGCTCCCCTGCTACTGTGAAAGAGCACATTCCGCCCAGCCTGCCTCAAGTCCATTCCTTTGGACAAATCAGTTCAATTCTCATCACTTTCCCTGCATTGAACTTCCTTGAGTTCAGTTTGCAATCCCCTGTGAAGGAATTTGTTGCAAAAAAAACAAAAGCTGGAAAATGCAAAGTCCTGTTTGTGACCATATATTTAGTCTTATTTAGATTGTATTTTTAGGGGAGGAAGTAAGGAATGTCTGGTGTGCGTATGCATGAGTAAGAGTAAAGGGAGTGAAACATCAGTAATCAAAGGGTTTGAGGAGGAGACAACATGGGATTTTGTGTTCTGATTTGTTTTCTTTTGTTGTTGATGTTGCCCCTTCTAGAGGAGCGGGGGAGGCCTGCTCCCAGTGAATCACTGCAGGCACACTTCGTCATCTGAATCACAGCGTGTGTCATTTATTTGGTGACCCATTTTATTTCCCCTGCTCTAAATGCAGCAGTGCAGTTTCTCCCCCTACCACCAGCAGAAGCTGTGAGAAAGGAGAAGAGCAGGACCAGTCCGTGGCTCAGACAAAAGTGGTTAACTTTAAACTCAACCTGTTTCCATTGGGAGAATCTCACCTTTCCCTGCTGGCTCCCCCCCGGGAGATTCTTTGCTTCTTTCATAGGCTCATGGAATGGTTTGGGTTGAAGGGACCTTAAAGCTCATCCAGCCCCAACCCCCTGGCTGTTTAGGTTTCATCAAAACTGATGTGGGAAGGCCAGTGGGTGAGCTGCTGTCAGGAGCAGTGCCCTGGAGTGGGTCTGCATGCAGCCTGGGGTAAAGCCGAGAGCTAAACCAGCTCCATAGCCCAGAGCTAAACCTGCTCCTTTCAGTGAAGGCTGCAGCCCCAGGCACGTCTCTGTAAGCCAGGTCCCCTGCAGCAAAGGGGTCCCTCTCGGCCCCGTCCACAGGCTCAGGTGCTGGTACCTTTGTGGGATCCAAGCGCAGGGTCTTTGGCCACACGGGAATCTCGTCTGCAGGAGCCGGTGCAGCCACGGCACGGCACCCGGAGCCCTCCTTCCTCCCTTCCCGCCAAGGAGCTGAGCTCTCATTTCCAAACCTCTCCTATTTTGAGCAGCCTGTGGGTCTCCATGAAGTCATTTCAGCTTGCCACCCGGAGCGTGCAGAGCTGTTCTCACCCTTGTGCAATTCCCTCCTCCCTGTTTTGGAACCTGCTTTGGGTTTGGTTTTGGTTACGAGCGTAAGCCAGATGTGTCCATTCCACAAAGGAAACTCTGGCTTGCGCAGGGCCGATACTCTGCTCTGTTTACCTGGGTTTCCTTTGCCATGTCAGAGATCTTGACGGTGCAGTTTCGCTCTGACTCACTCGTGCTTACTGCTGTGGAAATGCATTGACTCCGCAGCGTTACGAAGCGGTTGCATGAATGAATAAAGCACCTTTTCCTAAAGAGTGTCCGGGGGATGTGGGTGTCGTTCTGAGCCCTTTAGGAAACAGCTTTCATGTTTGCCAAGCAGATCATTTCAGGAAGGAAAGTGTGTTACTCAAAAGCCATTCGTGCACTTTTACCCCACCTCCCACGGACCTCTATGGGTGGTGTGGTTCTCAAGAAATACTCCTCAGGACAAGCGGAATTGCCTTTCTGCAGCAAAGCGGAGGCATTCAGGCAAGTGCTTTTCCCCCACAGCGTGCCATGTGGAGAGCTTTGTCCTGGATGTGGTCCTGCGCAGCCAGCGCTAGCTGGGCTTTGGCTCTGCAGGGGTCCTGGAGCAAGGTGGCATCTCATCCTTTGTGTTAAAGGGGCTGCCTGTGTGTGTAGCTTACTTAGAATCATAGAACAGTTTGGGCTGGAAGGGACCTTCAAATGTCATCTGGTCCAGCCCTCTCATGAGCAGGAAGATCATCAACTAGATCAGGTTGCCCAGAAACCCATCCAGCCTGGCCTTCCATGACTCCGGGGTTGTTTCTTATGGTAGTTAGCAACATGTGGGCAAGTTTGTACATTTTCTTCCTCTTCTTGGTCTCTGTCATTGCTTTCAGACAAAGGAACATTGCGTATTTTATGCGCTATTCTAGATACAGCCATAATAGTGCATTTCTTCCTTTCCTTTTCAGAAATTCCCCATTTCTCATCCCTCTGCAAGCAGTGACGCTTTGGGGAGGCAGGGGCGTGGTGGCTTTGAATTCACCTTGTGTGAAGAGCGGTTTTGAAGCAGTGGTGTTTGCCCTCTCGGCAGCCCCGTTGCCGATGACTAACAGTTCCTGATGGGCAAAGCATGCAGGGGACTGCTGCTTTTTGCTGGCAAGGCATGACGCTGGATTTCTCACTTCTGGAAAGCTGCTTTCTAGCACCCTTGCCAAGACTTACAATGTGACTCATCATCAGCCCCAACAGGTAAATCCCAAGTCACCCTTTGGAAATTTAACCCGTGTCATTGATGTGCCTTGTAACATCTAAGTGTCCAGAAAGAGGTTATTGATCATGTGTAGAAGATGTTGTGGTGATCTCTACTGTGACTTCCAATATGACATCGAGGGAGCCTTATGTAAGTTCTTAGCAGGTCCAGAACGTCTATTTAATCTAAATGAAGCTGGAATTGCCACCTGAAAGTATCGAGTAATGGAGACTCCCTCCCATGTGTTTGGGTGATTAATTTAACTGAGGAGTATTTGCACTCTTTTAATTGCATACCTTATTGCTCTCTATAGCTACTTGGAAGGAGGCTGTAGAGAGATGGGGATCAGTCTCTTCTCCCAAGTAACAAATGGTAGGACAAGAGAGAATGGCCTCCAATTGCAACAGGGAAAGTTTAGATTGGATATTAGGAACAATTTCATTGTGGAAAGGCTTGGCAAAGACTGGAATAGGCTGCCTGGGGAAGTGCTGGAGTCACCATACCTAGAAGTATTGAAAAGACATGTAGATGTGGTGCTTAAGGGTATGATTTAGTGGTGGACTTGGCAGTTGGTTGGACTTGATGACTTTAAAGGTCTTTTCCAGCCCAAATGATGATGTGATTCCCGGATTCTAATGAAGCTTTCTCAGCTGAGTTTGTTTGCAGGTAAGTTAAAGAAGGTAAAAGTATTCAAAATCCCCTGAATATAATGGTCCATTTTGACTTACCCAAATACCTCTTCACTGCCTTTTGTTTTGAGCATTGTGAGCAACATAATTGCCTTGATCTCTTGAACAGATCATTTCACAAGTGCTGTTCTGAAGAGTTTCTAGTTTTGGTATTAGTGGCTTGTGTGGATCTCCTGGAGAATATTGTCTTTGTCATGGTTTAGCATTAACTCTCTGACCAGTAATACAAACACAAGTTATGTATAACTAGGAATGGTCATAAGACAGAAAGTGGTTATCACGGTTTGAGAAATCAGATAGTGCAAACCAGCTGCTCAGAAGCGTAATGTGACCGTCAGGGTGACTTACAGAGGCAATTTCAGTCCTTGTCCCTAAAGCCAAGCACAGGCTGGCTCACTCCGTGGTGGAGTTTTGGGGTGGTTTTTCACATGGTGCTGAGGGGTTGGGAAATCCTGGGCTTTCTTTTCCACCCCACACCACGCAGTGAAGCACGTGCCATGGCTGGAGATGCCACACGTGATGGCACGTGATGCCCTGAGGGATGCTGCAGCATCCCTGGTGCTGCCGGGGGGTTTCCCACATGCCCCACTGTGGCTTTCTGCTCCGAAATCGTTGGTGTGAAGACTGTGGCCCCTGGGGCTCCCCTGTGAACCAGTCTGTCCAGGATGAAGCCCAGGCTCCGAGCACTGTGTTACTCAAGCAGAGAACATCTACTGATGGCTCTATTCAACTGGAACATTTTGGAGGCTCCTCTGATGAGCCCAAGCAAAGGGAACAAGTTTCATGATGCAGAT